GGCGCCCCGCCCCTCGGCGGCTCCAGGTGCGGCGGTGGGACCGGGGCCGCGGCCGGGCCGGGGCCGGGGCGCCATGGCCGAGTCCCAGCTGAGCTGCCTGGACGAGGCGCACGTGAACGAGAGGGTGACCGAGGCGCAGGCCGCCTTCTACTACTGCGAGCGGCGGCGGGCCGCGCTGGAGGCGCTGCTGGGCGGCGGCGAGCAGGCCTACCGCGAGCGGGTCAAGAAGGAGCGGCTGCGGGACTTCCTCTCCAGCCAGGAGCGCCAGGCCCTCCGCGCCGCCTGGATTCCCTACGAGGACGTCGCCGCCGCCGCCGCCGCCGCCGCCCGGGGCAAGAGCAAGGCCAAAGCCAAGGCCCCGGCGCAGGCCCCGGCCGAGCCCGGAGAGTCCCTGGCCTACTGGCCCGACCGCTCCGACACCGAGGTGCCCCCCCCTGGACTTGGGCTGGACCGACGCGGGATACTACCGCGGCGTGAGCCGCGTCACCCTCTTCACTCACCCCCCCAAGGAGGAGAACGCGCCGCACCTCAAGCAGGTGGTCAGGCAGATGATCCAACAGGCCCAGAAGGTAGGACCCCCACCCCGCACACGGGTAGGACTCCCCTCGCCCGGCCCCTTGGACCAGGCCCCGCTCTGGAGGCAAGGCCTGGGGCAGGCTGCCCTGACCACCCTCTGGAAAGTGGGCCCAGAACCCTCCCTTCCGTCGTGGGAGGCCGGGCCTCTAGAGAGCATGCATGTGATCGTATTTGGCAAATTACAAGATGCTGGACACTTGCTTGTCATCATTATTACAGTGTCCTTAGGCGCTGGCTTTCCTCTGCTCTGTGATTCTACTTCCCTGTCCAGTTTCTCTTCCCAGGGAAGAGTCAGGGCTGTGGAGCCCTGTGGTAAAATGGGCCACTCAGAGGTCTTGATAATAACCTATGTGCTCAGGGAGTTACAAAACATCCCTGGCCTTTTCCTCCTTTGATCTTCAGTCAGCCCCAGGAAGTGCGGTGTGACACCTCACCCCTACCCCAGCCATGCTGCTCTTAGGAAGCCCCCCAGAGTCACCACTGGCGCGAGGCCCCCAGCATTCACACCCACTCTGGGCCCAGTGCTAGAGCTCAAGCAGCCTGGAATGAATGAAGGAATGTATTTTGAGCACCAACTATGGGCCTGGCTCTGTGCAGGCACTTTGACAAGGCTGGTCCCTGACTCAGCAGGTCAGGAAAAAGCTCCTACCTCTCAAGTCTACTCTGCCAGGGACTGAAAGGAGGGGATGTTTCCAGAGTGGCTGGTTAGAAAACTGGTGGGGCCGGTAGTTTGTAGGGGAGGAAGAAGATTTTAATCTTCTGGGTAGGGCTTCCAGATAAAGTATAGGATGCCCTGTTAAATTTGAATTTCAGATAAACAACGACAAATACTTTAGTATTAAGCAATATAACTCAAATACTGCATGGGACATACTGATGCTAAAAAGTTATTGTTTATTTGAAATTCAGATTTAATGGGGGCATTCTGTATTTTTATTTGCTAAGTCTGACTCCCCTATACGGAGATTTGTTAAGGAACATCGGCAGCCTTTGGTGCAGGCATGGTGCAGGTGGTTGGTGAGACTGATTGCCAGAAGGAAGGGTTAACTTCCCTGTCCATGTTTCCACTCTCCCTCTCTAAGGAATCCCAGCTTGTCTGCCTGAGCTTTCTTTGTATATTGCCTTCTGCAAAAGAGAAAGGCACGTTTGAGCAGAGGAGGAGGAAGGACGTGGGTGACAATACCATGCAGCAGGCTGCAGCTGGGGTCAGGGGTCAAGCCTCATGACGTAATACTAACAAGCCTTGATTTAGTACTACTTAATATGTGCCAGCCCCTATGCTAATGATTTACCTGCCTCCCCCCCCCCCCGCTTTTCACAACAACTGAGATGAGTCCTTTCCTTATTTGGGGATTAAGAACAGTTAAGTTACTTGCTGAGCCAGGATTCAAATACCAGAGTCCTTCCTCTTCACCGTTGTGCTATCTGATGGTGCAGCAGATTGAACCAAGGAGCTTGGGTGGAACTAGCCGGGTCGCAAGCTGGGGTGCAGGCTGTGCACTCCTGTTACAAGAAGGGAGAGATGGGGCCCCACCCCCTGGGGCTTCTGGTCCCATGCAGGATGTCAGGAGTCTCCCATGGAGTGCAGTGTTCTTCACTGTTTAAATATTTAACAACAGAAACTTTAACATTTGTGAACCGATCCAATACATACATATTAAACCAGTGACTATTTCCTGAATGCCTCCCGTGTACCAGGCACTAGTCATAGGAGGATAAAAGCTGTGGTCTTTGTCCTCCAAGAGTTAACTCAAATGTTGGGGGGTGTGCTGGAAGGATAACAGCTTTTGAGGCTGGATGTGCCTAATCTGGGAGGGCTTCCCAGGGGAGGTAAATTGCAGAGTTGAAAAGGGAGAGTGAAGGAAACTAGAATGGGCAGTTTCTCCATGAGAGACTCAGGAGAGAGAGAGATTTTTGCTTCAAAACAGCAAGCAGCTCTGATTGCCAGGAGGAAAGAGCTGTTGTAGTGGCAGCTGAGTACGGGGTGGGACCTGGTGAGGGGGTCCTAAAACAGTTCCCCAGGAAGAAGCAGCTTCTGGCCCTGTCTGTGCCCAAAACCCCCAGGCCCTCTGGACCCCGAGCCTTAATCACCGCCACTCACATTTGTGTGGCACCTTCCTCCCAAAGATCCTGTGAAGTCGGCAGGACAAGAAGTTGACCCTGTTTCACAGGTAGGGAAACTGAGGCACAAAGAAGGAAAGGGGCTTGCCCAGAGGTCACGTGATTGGTTATAGCCAGACCCAGAAACCTAGCTTCTCTTCTAAAGGCTACACAGTCTGACCACTGCCTCCCCCCACCCTCCCCCCGCTTGTCCAGCTGGCTGTGACTATTACTCCAGATCCTTCCCCTTCCCTTTTCACCCTGAGGGAGAGCGTTTCCGTTGTCTCCAGGGAGTGTCTGGCTGCTATGAGACAGACCGCTCTGGTTTATGTGCAGAAACGCCCTCCTGTCCTGGCTGCGCTGGGGAGCCAGCGTTCCAACATTCGGCCCTGTTTACTTCTGGAGTGGGGATTTTCCTGCTGTTTCATCTGCTTTAGGTGATCTGCTTATTTAAGTGTCACTGAATGATACTCTTTGCTTAAACTACAGGCAGAAAGGGTGCCTTCAGGGACCCAGAATTGAGGCTGTGACCTGTCCCACACCGGCCAAAAGGATGAGGGGAGGTTACTGTTGCTTGAGCTGCTGTGATTCATGTAACTGCCCAGGGGATGGGGGGCTTCGGGGGGTGTGGACTTCGGAGCAAAACTGTCTGTGTGTGGACTGGGAAATAGTTGGTTCTTATTTACAAGAGCAGAATGAGAGGCTCAAACAACTGCAACTTGGAAGGATCATGCATCTGGTCATTGGACAAATATTTTGAGGTTTACTGCGTGCTAAGCACTTCAGTAGAACACAGACACGTAACACACACCTCTGCTCTTAAATAGCCTAATCTCCTACTGAACCATCATAACACAGGATGACGAGTGCTTGACAGAGGGCGTGACAGGAGGGGAACTAACGCAACCCCTGAGCTGGGCTAGGAGAGGACCTTTGATGCGAGGGCCTGCTGCAGACATGTCTGAACGCAGCAGGAAGGGCGAGGTTGCACCAAGCATCCACCTATCTCTGCACCTGGGCTCCCTCCTGACCGGCAGCATTCAGTTTTGAGGCTGCTTGGTGGGTTTAGAGTGTTGTGTGGGCTTCAGGAACAGAGGAAAAGTTACTGGCCACCTACCTCAAAGACTGACCCTTGGCCCTGCACTCCTGGGCCCCACACTCACAGGCACCAGCTCCCAGCTCTTCATTGCTTCCCACCCCCCACCATTTCCTTTGAGCCTCAATAACCATGTAAGGCAGAGTATTATCTTCTTTTCACAGGGGAGGCCTCTGAGGTCCAAGAGGGTGAATGACTTGTCTTCAGATCAAGGAGATTAAACAGCTTCCCTGGGTCCCTGGTCAGAACTACCAATGACCCCGTGTAGATTATAAACCAACCCATGGAGGGTGGCTGCTGGACCAGGCAGCTTTGAGGACGCAGGAGCAGCTCCTCTTTATTCCCCTTGCAGCGGGAAGAGCAAGCCCACCGGGCTGACGGCATCGGGGGAGGGTAGCAGGCCTGGCCCTACCCCACCTCTGCCTGTCCATCGTTGGTCCCTTTCCTTCAGGGCCTGGCTCAGATGCCACCTCTTCCTTAGCACTTTATCAAATTTTCAATCCAAAAGTGATTGATGTGGCTCCTTGTTTTTGGCACCTGTGGGCCCGGCACACAGCTCAGTTTTGGAGAGCCCGTTTTGTCCTCAGGGACTAGCAGCTTTGGAAGAGCTGAGACTCCCTCTTTTACCTCTCCATCGTCTTTGTAGGGCCCCAGTGGTCACAGGTGATCAATGACTTGTTTAAACAATTGGAAACTGTCTCCTCTTGGCCACCCACCCCTCTCCATCGGCCTAGGGGAGCAAGTGTCTGGAGAAGTCCCTAGCTGAACTGCACATTACTCCTTTAATCCCCAATGGAACAAGCTGTCTGGCAGCAGAAACAAGAAGGCTCTAAGTTGGGAGTTGTGGGGGATGGGCAAAGGGCTTTGGGGAAAGACTCCAGAGCAGGAGGCATGGTTGGCCAGGTTAGCAGCCTTAGTTAGAGGTTGAGGCACCCGATGAGGGTGAACAGCTGGGTACATGTGATCAGGGAGTGTGACCCTGGAACCAGTGAAGTCTTGGAGATGCTGGCTCACTTCACAGCTTGGTGCTCAGCTTGGCAGGTGGCAGCCTTTGCCACTGAGTAGAGCTCACTGTCTTCCCTGTTAGCCTCAAATACATCCAGAAAACAGTACCCAGTACCTCCTTTGTACCAGGCACCATGCTGGGCACTGAGATATGGACATGAAGCAGATACAAAAAAAAGAGAGAGTAAGAGAGAGAGAAGAAACAAAAGACAGTTTACATAGCATGATTTTTTTTTAATGTTACTGGTTTGTGAAATCTGAGTCTGGTGATACGTTCACTAGTCACCTCGCTGCCTTGTCTGAGAGCTGGTCCCAACTCTCGCCTTGCTCCTAACACCTTTCCCCGTTCTCCCTTCCTGTGTCAGAGGCTTTATCTAGAGCTTTGGAGCTGCCTTCTAAAAGCCTGGCTCCGATGTGCAGAGGAAGAGGAGGCCTCTCAGGGCAGCCCGTGACCTGTGGGTCTGACACACTGTCCTCCGTCTAACCCTTCTTCCCTCAACAAGGGACCATTCCTCACGGGCTTTATTCCCAAGGTACAGGGCAGTTCCAGAGTCCTTGTCCCCTTGGGGCTGGCAGATAATGATGCAGCCGCTGTTCCAGGAACTGAGCACTTCCCAACCCTTCCAGGATCTTGCCTGGGCCCATCCCGGCACCCCTGCCAAGCCCTGGATGCTTTGCTTTTTGGGTTCTGAGTCTCTCTCCTTTATGCTCAATCACTGATCAGCAGCTGGGATTTCTGAGCAATGGAGACCCACCTTCATGCCAAGGACAGGGAACGGGCTCTAGAGTTGA